ATTACCGTAATCTTTTGCTTGTATAAGTATATCATAATGAGACACTGCCACTCGATCTAAATGCTCCTTTGTAACAAGCGAATAAATGTTTTCTTTATAGGATGGCTTTAATTCAAAAGGTGCATCATTTAGTATGTGCATTATAGTTTTTCCATTAATTCCTGAGTCTTTATCTGTTACACTGATAAGAGAAATCGCTGTTCCTGGTTTTGAATCCTCTGATATAGTATTTGATAAAGATGTAATATCTATTATTGGCGAGTTATCGTTTATATCTTTAATCTTTACATCTACTCTACACCTTCCTGTTAAAGGAGGTGCTGCTTTGTCTGATGCTTCAATGTCAATTTTGTAGATGTCAGATTCTTCAAAATCCAGTCTGGATTTCAATTTAATTTGACCTTTTGAGCTTTCTAATTCGAATATACTATATATTTTAGGTTCCAATATGTTTGCAATGTTGTATTCAATTTCTCCATTTGTTCCCTCATCTGGATCTGTTGCATTAACTCTTGTAACAATAGTTCCAACTGGGACGTTTTCATAAATCTCTATCTGGTAAACCTCCTTATCAAAGGATGGACGGTTATCGTTAATGTCAAGTACAGTGACTGAAACATTAAGTGTCCCTGATTGCGGAGGTTTACCTCCATCTATTGCTGTTACAAACAAGCCTAGTTTATTCGTTTTTTCCCTGTCTAGTTGCCTCTTTAGAACTAAAAATGGACGTTTGTCTTCATCATTTTGGCTTATATCGATATCAAAATAATCATTTGAGGATAGCGTGTAGGTTCGGATTGAATTCACTCCTGCATCCGGGTCACGAGCCGCTTGCAGCTGGAATCGTGCTCCTAAAGAAGTATGTTCAGCTATTTGAAAATGTTGCTCTGTTTTTGTAAAATTTGGGGAGTGATCATTTACATCTGATATTTCAACAATAACATGGTGCATCTCCAACGGGTTTTCGACAATAATTTTAAGCTCCACCAAGCACGCGCCACTACCGTGACAAAGCTCCTCTCTGTCAATTTTTTTACGAACCTGTAAGGCCCCGTTATCCCTGTTAACAAAGAAAAACGTATCCTCAGATCCAGAAGCAATTCGCAGCCTTCGGTCAGTTAAATGTGATTTTTCCAGACCAAGATCCTTGGCAATATTTCCAACCACAGTTGCTTCTT